GTTTTTCATGCTCTTCCTCATTTTTGGAGAATATCAAAATATCATCCAAATAGATGACAACAAAATCGTCAAGGTACTCTCGGAAAATGTCATTCATCATATGTTGAAAGATCGCTGGAGCATTGGTAAGACCAAAGGGCATGACATTATTTTCAAAATGGCCATACCTTATACGGAACGTTGTCTTCCACTCATCTCCTTCCTTGATTCGTACGAGGTTGTAAGCTCCCCATAGATCAATTATTGTAAAGATCCTTGCACGTCCAAGTTGTTCTAAGAGACCAGAAATCAAAGGTAACGGATAACGATTCTTCTTTGTTACCTTGATGAGGCCTCAATAGTCCACGCACATCCGCAACAAGCCATCTTTCTTCTTCAAAAATAAGATGGGTGCTCCAGCTGATGATTTTGAATGACGAATGAAGTTCTTGGCTAGATTCTTATCGATGTATTTCTGCAACTCCGCCAGCTCCATCTGCGATAGATTGTAGATTGGGCCAAAAGGCGGTTGTGCTCCTTCTTGTAAGTCTATGGCGCAATCATATGGTCTATGTTTCGGTAGCATGTCGGCATTTTTCTTTTGAAACACGTCTTTAAAATCCTTATATTGCTCCGGTATACTTGCTGTCGAGATCTTCTCCCCAATAGTTGGAGCCGCATAAATGACAAACGGTGTGCCTTCCTTGGACAATCTTATAAATGTTCTTGCTCCAATAAATAAAGATTTCTCTATTCGGGGTTTTCTACTAGGCTTGCTCTTGGGTGGTTTTGTGGGAAAGGTCATCTTCCGCAACTTCCAATCTATGGATGGATTATGCTTTTTCAACCAGGAAAGACCAAGAATAACAGGATTTGATGGGGTTCTAATAATATTGAAAATAATATGACTACTATGGTCCTTAAACGCCACTTCTATAGGTTCTGATTCATGGGTGAAACTACCAGACAAGAAAGGTCGTCCATCTATGACCTCAACGTGAACAGGTTTGGATTTTTGTACTAAAGGGATCTTATGACGCCTTGCAAATTCTTCATCTAAGAAACAAGCAGATACTCCTAAATCTAATAATGCTAAGGTTCTCAGTTTCTGAGGGCCAATAAGCAAAGGGATTGTAAAACAAAGGGCAAGTTGAGCGGAAAGAAAGGAACCTGGTTGTTGTTGTGATATTTTACTGTCTAGCCGCATGGTTCCTATTATAGTTGGGCATCTTCGTTTTTCTGAATAAACGCACCCCTAGTCTTAACAATACGTTGATTTTGCTTCTTGGGGCAATTTCCAACTTTGTGGCCTTCTTCACCGCAATACAAGCATAGACCTTCCTCCATACGCTGCTTTTTTTCTTTTAGAGTAAGAGATTTGACACGTACCGCATCAATTTGCATGTCTTCTACCTCTGAATGTGAATTCATGCTGCTTGCCGACATAATTGGGGTGTGGCGAACCGTATGTTGTCTTGAACATTGATCTTGGCGGCGTTGAAATAGGTAATTATCGTACTTCACAGCTTGGCTAATAGCTTCGTTGAGCGTTTATGGATCAGGAAGAGTTAACAGCAAATCCTTCACATCGTCCCTTAAACCCCAATAGAATTGACTCATCAACGCTTCTTCATCCCAATTGATGTTGCATGCTAATTGCTTGAAGTTCGATGCATAGATTGATGTAGAACGCATCCCTTGTCGTAGTGACCAGATCTTTGTTGTAGCCCATCGAACCTTGTCGTGTTCACCAAATGCTTCTGCAAATGCCTCCAAAAAGGTTTCAAAGTTGTTTAGTATGGACGATCGTTTCTCAAACAAAGGAGCAAACCATGATAGAGCTTGTCCTATAAGTAAGGTTCCAACAAGCCCAACACGTGACTCCTCCGTTGGATAGCGTTCGGGCTATAAAACTGTTATCAACTTCATTTGGTTGATGAATCCTCGAAACTTGGAACGCATACCATCGAACTTGTCCGGAAGACTAACTCGGGGTTCCTTATGTTGTAGAACCAGCGGTGCTTGTCGAACCTGAGGCAAAGTTGCTTCTCCAAGTGTAAAAGTTTGAGGCTGGTGCAACCTAGATTGTGCCATCCCAGATGCTCCATCATTATGAAGCCTTGCCACGACTCCTTCAATCTCTGCAATTCTTTGTGATAACGTAGCGAGGGCATTCATAATAGCATCTAACTTGGACTCTGAACTTTCCGTCATACTAATGTCTTGGCCCCCAACCATTCTAAGAGAAGGACAAGAATGATTCTACAAGAAGACAATATTGGTTTAGAGGAGGGTACTCCGCAACCTCTAAAATGCCTTAAGAGCTTCAAGAAAAGGGATAATCCACTCTCTCCAAGAAGAATAAGACTCCAATATTGTAACAAAAAAAGTATCAGCTTAGAGGAAGGTAATCCACAACCTCTAAAGTGCTAGTAGACTTCCAAGCAGAGGGATAATCCACACTCTAAAAAAGAAGAAACTAGCTCTGATATCTGAGGTGAGTGAAGTCTCGACAAACTGTCACGGACACAGAATACAGACTTGATATCTATCAAGAAGTTCAAGAAGAACTGGCAAGAACTAGATTAATCAGATGAATACAAAAACAATACCAGAGAGGTGAGCTAGAGCTCCAAGAGATGTGTTGTCGAGACTGAAGATCTCTTTAGCCTCGATTCCAATATATATTCCTATTTAGGAAGCTTCTCAAGCAACTTCTACCAACTAGGAAGCTTCTAGAAGGTTCTAGAAGCTTGTCTCTAGAAGGTTCTAGAAACTTGTCTCTAGAAGGTTCTAAGGACTATGTCCCTAACAGTATGTAATATCACTCTTTTTAATAAGCCAATGATTTTATAGAAGCGCAAGCACATGCAAAGACAAAGCTATTTGGCCAAAGATATAAAAAAAACTGTCAATTCTAAATATAAAAATCAAGCAAGATGCAAAGCAAATAATACTATTTAAGCCTTCCGTGGAGGCAATTCTAAAAGAAGCAACAAGAAAAGACTCTCAAGGATGAAAAGCATCATAAGGTCGATCCATCAACAAATTGGTCATTACCTTGATAAAATAATGATTCTAAAGAAAAAATGCCATATCAACTTCATTTGGTTTGATTTTTGTGCACAACAAGGCTTATAATGTTTGTGTACAATGAGACTTGTGATGCAGATCTAAAGAGGGAATGCATGATGCAATGAAAGTTACTACACTATACTAGAAAATAACAACACTATACCACATCACAAAATAGCAATAGACTATGCAATGTGGTGCAAAGAAAGTCAACTAAAAAGCATGAATATACTTTTTGACTTATTTCAAATTTTTTTTTGGATGCATTGTTTATTATTTTTGGATATTCATAGCAATTTAGGATGTGCTTGTAGCGTGAGGCTGACAGACTACATACTCATAACTTGTATATATTAAATATAGTTTTATTTCTATAAAAGTATAAGAAATAAGGATATAAATTATAATTTACAATAGATATTGATGCTAAATAAAAAATATAAAAAATAAATTTTACATTATATATAATATAGAATACATGTATATTATTTATATAAAGATTTTAAGTAGCTTGGTTGAATAAACTTATATTTACTTCAATCATTACTATCATAACATTATTCAAAATAATATTAGTACATTTTTAAAAAATTAAGATTTTTTAAATTAAAAAACTAATATTTAAAAAAAATATACATTATTGATTACTATCTTGATTATAGATATTGTGATTCTTATTATAGATACCATATTTTAAGTATATCTATAATATAATGTTTGAATAAAACATAAGCACAACATTTTTTGATTTAGAATGATAAGTGATAGTTTCAATGTAATCTTTGTATTTATCTTATTACTTTTATGTAATATTTTTATGCAATGAATATTAAAAAAATATTTCAAGTTTATTTTTTAAAGATTAATTTAAAGTATTTCTAATAGTATTCAATTTTTAATTAATAAATTAATAATATGGTATTATTAACACACAATGATTTCATTGTTACTTTGGGTACCTAATATAATTCATAATTCGTTCATTTAAAAAAAATATTTATGAAAAATTTATCAATTTTATTTTCATTTGAATCTCTTGGTATTTAATTTTTTTATTTTTATAAGATTCATTTTTGTGATGATTATGGAATGTCCAACAAAGAATAATTGTATCTATTATTGATCAAGAACAACTGTAAAGTTATATGTAAAAAAAATGCAAAAAAATATATTGTTCTTATTTTTGGATCAATTAACTATTTTTTAAAATATTGAACTTATAGAGGTTTTTGTTTTTTTAACAACACTTTTGTGAGGTTATGTGAATTTTTGTTGAATGTATTAGATATATACAAAGATTTTTATTATAATCGAAGAAAAAAATTAAAAATATAATTAGTTTTTATTTGTTTTTATGGCTTGTAAATCTATTTTATTTTTAGTAAAAAAATTTATTACCATTTTAATTGCATAAATAAAATATTCAAAAGAATCTTATGTATTTTTAATATATGATCCAAATAGTTTTAAAATAACATATCTATAAATATGAGAATTTTAAATAACCAAGGAATTAATCAACCAAGTGAGCAATTGAATTGTGCCTTCACTTTTATGCAACATATCATATTGATCTTGCATCTTCAAAAACTCTTTAAAGAATAATAAGCATAAAACAAAAGGGCATTATGGTTAATACATAATAGTCATGAATTATATATATACAAACACACACATACATACATATATATAGTCAATTGTATTTTACATGGTTGTTTTATTCGAATTGTTTAGAAAATCACTCCATTAAAGATTTTGTTACATATGAATACACAACCATGCACAACCATTATATTCATAGAATGAATGAAAGTCAATCCTTTCTACGTCAGTGAGCTCTGTCGTTTCCGAGAGCAGACCTCCACTTAGAATTGTGTCCAGCTCGGCCATATTCCACGTCGGACTTTCAAGTCTTCCGTCTGCGTGCGTGTGCGTCGAGGTCCGGGACGATGAAGGAAATGCTCCGTTTGTTTGTTTATTTGTTTGTTTTCGTGTGTGCCTCGGTTGCATTGAGCTTGTCTTACAATTCTCCAAGTATATGTGTTCATCAATGCAACTATATAGTAGCTCGTCTCAGTATTGTTGCCTATCACCGTAGACAGAGAGGTCGACACTTTGAACGCAAGGCCGGTTGTTCCAATTAAGGTCTTCAATAGCTTTTCGTTTCCTCTTGTCTTAATATTCGGGAGCCTAAGCGTTGATTCGGATGCTCAGAATGTGCCACAAGTGAGGTACGATTGAGCTTTGCGGCTGCTTGTGTTGATTTCTTATGAGGAGGATCGGTGAGTTCAATACTATTTGTTTCTTGAAAAGTATTGTGCTTAAGGTATTTGAGGGTGTGGCTTGAGGGAGTTAGTATCCGTCAATGTGGTGTGAGATTGTGATGGGGATCCAGTTATGATGATTGATATGATTTTTCGTAAATGACGGTGAATGTGTTGTTGTTGGATTTCTAAGGAGGGAAGGATGGACAAGCAGCTCGGAAGCTGTCTGGCCTCGCTGCGGGACGCGGCTGACAGCGTGCGCAGCAGCGGAGGATTTGTGGACCTTGCTCCCTACGTGGTTGATTTTTCCGAATTGTGCAAAGATCTATATTCGGACGAAGACATCTCTTATGCCATCGCAATTGTGTTCGATGAGGATACTGGGATTTTTAGTATTTTAGAATCGCTATTGCGTGTGCGTGACAAGTCTGTCGTCAGAGCAAGAGAATCATGTTGGAGTTTTTTGGCCCTATTTATTAAAAAGATTGGACCCCGAGCTTTGCACTATGCGGCTCTCTTGAAGGTGTGTGTGTGCGTGCGTGTGTCTTTTCTCATGTTCAGATATTTTCATGAATTTGAGATTAGTTTCCTCTTTGGAAGTTTGGGGTTTTACAGTCTTTGTGAGTTTATTTAGCTTGGAGTATCAACGACTAATCACCGATTCAAATTGCAGGAAAAGTCTCTGACATTTTTTCGAAGGGAGGACTCAAAATCTGTGCAAGCAGCAGCATTGACACCTCTTATTGTTTTATTAGAACTAAACATGGCACGTTTGAAGCCAGCCATGTTCGCAGTTGATCAGGAACTCTCTACTTTGTTAATGCTCGAATTCCGCAAGGCCAAAACGAATAGCACATGTATGTCGTGAGCTTTGCTTTACTTTTGTTTGAAATCGTGTGTATGTAGTGTTTGTATCGCATCACATTTACAACTATGATTTTCTAGTTCGGAGCGTGTTGTGGCGTATGACGTTGGGTGGAAAATAATCCTTCTTCGTGTATCCTTAGAGGTGGCCTTTGTTTCACAAGTAGCTAATGTTTCGTTGGTCATTGGTTTCCTGCTTTAGTGAAAGCCAATATCATTCAGCTACTTGGAGACCTAATAGAGTATTTTAGAGAAAGCTTTGAAGAGGAGAATGTGTTAGCCATCTTGAAGCTTTGTCTGGATACATTGGAAGAGCAGCTACAAAAATCACCCCAACTCGTCCTCATGGCAGGAGCTATTAAGTGCCTCGATTCTTTACTCATGTGGTTTAATGACTCTCTTCCTGCTGGAGGTAATGTTATGAAGTCTTTATATGCACAAGCCTTGAAATTGGTGCCTAAATCATTGGGTGCATGATTAGAATCTTAGTTCTTCTAAGCCAACGCTGGTTTTGATCTAATGCAGGTTCCGTTGAAAATTCGCGTCGAGTGTTTACTTGCATTGAACAGGTGTTATGGCCGCGAGAGGAATTGAAGCGATACGAACCTTTGAAAGGTATCCAACCCACTTTCAATCTGCAGATTTATTGATCAATCTTCACTATAATTTAAGGGTATTCTTTTCATCATAACGAGCTCTGATTTGAATTTGTCATTTTCTAATTTTTGATGTACGCTTGAATTTGCTTACGATGCAACTCAGACCTCATATAATCGTCATTTAATGTAGGGTTTGAACACACTAGTCTGGTTCTTACCTGCATCTCTCCCTGCTTGCTACGTTCAATTCTGTTGCTGCCCTGCTAGTGACGATTACCCACTTTTAATGTTCCTCTGGCTTATTATCTTCTGGGTTTCTTTTGAAGCAGTCTCTACAGTCTGTATAGTCCATGTGTTTAGGGGAGAAGATTGTGTTAATAACTATGTCATGAATTGACTCAATATATTGACATCTCTCAAAGTAATTCCTTTCCAGAAATTCTTTGAGGGCATATTTTGGGTTCTACATTCATTCTTTGTGATCTTGAAGTTGACAACTATTCTCCTTTTCCCATTTAAAGTCTTGCGTTTTCTCAACCTAGCGCAGATGAAATTGCGATCATTGACAGTTGAAGGCCAAACTATAGTGTGTCGATTTTCTTAAATTTTAATTCATTCCTTTGTGCATGACGTTGTACTTGTTTCTCAAGGATAACGTAGTAACTTGCATGTTGAATGACATTGTTCTGATCTATCTTCTGTCTGACTAGCTTCTCTGCGGCTTCTGTCGAGGCATGCGGGTCTTTTCAGAATGCGGCTGATTGAATCTGGAATCAGAAATATGCATTGGCTACAAGAGCACTGGTACAGACTTTCATCTAGTACTAAAGTAAGCTTTTAGTGATTTTCTTGGAGACCTGTTCTTATATTGGACGGATACATTTTCTTGAACATTGTGTTCATTGACCGTGCCAATATCTACTGAGCTGTGTTCCACAATCGTGCACTGATTTTAAAGATGGGTTGCATCAACTGTTTGTACGATTTACATGTTCCCTAGCGTGTGCGGAAAGTTGTAAATATATTGCAAGTCCTAGACTTGACTTCTTATGTTCTTGGAAAACATTGAAGACTGGAAGGTTCTGATTAGGTGGATTTCTTTTTGCAGCACTCATTCAAATGCTAAAATACGAGATGCAGCACTTCCAGCTTACGATCAGTTCATCACACATGTGAGTTGCTTATGAGGGTGTAAGCTGAGGATGCATATGTTAGAGTTCATAACAACTAAATATGGGAGTTCCTCGATTTCTTATTTTACTTAATATTATTCATTTGATTGTTCAGGTATCACTTCAGGCCATTCTATTATTAGGCATCGTTGCTTCTGCGATGGTCAATATGGGTGCTTGTCACCAACATGCTCAAGTAGCGAGTTTTGGTTAGGACGTTCTCTTGCAGCGACATATCAATTCTTTTGCCTTCAAGCACATGTAGGTATCATTGCATGGATTAATAAGCTTTTTTTTATTGAGGGATGCAGGTTTCCAGTGCGCTTGTATCAGACAGCCGGATTAGGAATGCCCAAGCTTTGTACACGGTAAATTTTTTAGTTCGCTAAGGATTGTGTAAATCTTGCTCATTGAATTTGGCATATATTAGCGTTGTGTCTATTCCATGACATGGGTCCATGTTCCCATAATCTGGCCATTCGTACTGCTGTCAGGACGTGAAGTTCTCATAAACTTTGAATAAGTGTGCTTCCATAATCAGCTGCCTGTGAGTGATGTTCTATAAAAAAATTCCATTTCAGGCTTTTGTCAAGGACGCTCTGGATGTTCTCAATGCTCAGGATGCTGATCCTAAGCGAATCTCGCTAGCTATACGTGCATTAGGGAAGCTTGCTGCATGTATTGTGAAATTCTCGGGGAAAGAGAGTTTAAAGGACGCCTTTCATCGCCTTGAACCTTTTGGTTCTTTATCTAGGTTTATACTCTTCTCAGTATCACATTACGTTTTTCCCTTCAGACAATGTGAACTCATTTCTAATTCAGAAGGGCATCTTAATTTTCTGGTATAGCATAACCAAGTCTGCGATATTCTAATCATATATTTTAGACTACTTTATTTACAGGCATCTCACACAACTCATCGGTTCTTTTTTTAGTGTTTTATAGTACTTGCTAGTTTATGTTTGTTCAAAAGTCTTCTTCTGTACACTTCTTCTGCACAAGTTACAATAAACAGATTGAGAAGACAACTGAGTTCTAGTATTTAAGCGTCGGCAGATAATGTAAATAAAATGAAAAGAAGTTTCTGTTGCTGCAACAGACGTAGAGCTGAAGCGTAAAAATTGGAACGAACAACAGAGTATTCATACAAGGCTCTTCAAATAAACTTCAACAGAGTGCAATAATTATTGACCTTTAAGACGTGTTGACAGGCTTGGTGATGGACGTGAAGGGTCATTGGGATATGCAGTTACGCTTGTAGGTGCGTTTGCAGACATGGTTATCCACCTAGATGACGTTGAAGACCTTATGGTTACTTTTATTGCACAGGTATGAGCCTACCCTCGTATGACTTTGAGACAAAAAGTGATATATGTACAGATTTTTCTACTAATTTGGTTAGCATATACTTCAAGTTCCTCATTATATTTTTGAATTTACAAATGCAATCATAACCTGGTAATTGAGCTGTGTGCACTATTTTAGCAGGTGAGGAATAGTGCTATATTGGAACAGTAGTGTTTGCATCTGAAAGATTTTCAAGTTCAGATCAAATGTTCTAATGCACAGATACTAGAAACTTTCTTACTAAATTACTGTTAAATATTTCCATTGCCTCTGGCAGGTCACTGGAAGCATTTTTTTTCTGTACCCCCAGCTTTTCGCAAAACAGAAGCAAGCTGTCTATACCGCCCTACGCAACCTGCTGAAAGCACTGTACCCAAAAGGGCCTGTTTATTTCTTATTTCTTAGAAACATTGGTGAGTTTGTTTGCTTGATCGATATCGTAATTTCATTTGCAATGTTCGATGCCTTAGTGTAGATATATGTACATAAATCTGCAATCTTGCTTGTTCGAATTTAAGGAGACATGAAGCGATTGTTTATAAAATTTGATCAGATGTTTGCTCTTCTGTAGTGTGGTCGTCATTGCAAAGAGCTATGGAGCCGGTGGATGAGGCTCTAGAAGAGGGGAGCGTACAGCTATGGAGGCACTATGTTGAGCTTTGGTCACATCTCATAGATTTCTCTTCTGATCAAGGATTACAATTGGAGGCTGGATTGGACGAAGCAGAGAGCTTTGAAGAGCTTGTAACTTCTGATGTGGGGAATGTAGGCATCATCGAATCCTCTTTAAGAGAGTCCATATATGACGCAATAATGCATTGTGTTATAAAAGTTATGAATGAACTCAACTTGAAATACCGAGTAAAACCCGCAAGGACAGGCAAATATTCAGGTTGATTTTATTGATCTTTAGTTCTCTTTTTACTTCTCTTTGACTTCAGACATTGATATCCTCTTTCAGAACTGATTTCTTGTCAGTGTGTTTTTCGCAAGAGTTCAAGATGCAGTTTCTATATGTATGCACCTTGAATAACGTTTCGTAAATTTATTATTTTTTCATAAATCTTAGATTGGTAGTTGTAGCTCTTGTTGGGTTATGTTTTTCTACCTTGCATAGTAGGCTACGTTTGGTTTGCATGTGGTTGAGGATAATATCTAACACATTGTTCTGTATTTTAAGCAGTAATTATTAGTAGAAAACCGACTTCAGTAGATCGACCTAGTTTATTCTGTTCATTTATCTCTCACCTGGAAAGTCTGTCGGAAAGATACTGGGCTTAAAACGTGAAGCTTTAGTATCTGAAAACAATAGATACATCAACTTGATCATTAAGGCCTAAAGACGATGAGTTGTTTGGTGGCTTAGAGGAATTGGATGCTGGCCCAATTGAACCTGAAGCTGAGATGGATCTTATTGAACCACTCGATATGATTCACATGCGCAAATATCTTAATCTGGTACGTAAGTGTCTCTTTTTCAGTACTCTTCTATTTCTGCTGTACAAAAGTTTAACATCAACGTTAAAATCATTAACTGCTCAATTTAGTCGTTTGCTGCTGTGGAATTCTGGCGAAATAATATTGATTCATGACAGTATTCTTACAATATCGTATGCTACTGAATCAAGCGTGCTCAACATGCAGTAATTCTCTGCTGGCTATCATTTTCATTTTGTATTTTGATATATATGATGAATGGTTGGGTGATTGCATGTTCTCTTGCAATAGGTCGATTTTGTGCAAGAACTACTTTCAGGGTGAGTGCATAAACAATCAATTTCCATTCGATCAGATGATCTCAATTGATTTGGCATTCTGTATATTCTACTATAGATGTTTTCTTGCATGAGGCCAGGGCTTTGTGTTGGTATATGCTTTGCTAATGTGATGCCTGTAGCAAATGACGAGGATTTAAAATGCACAAAGCTGAAGTCAGTAATTCAGTTGTTTATGGTGCACGTTCATTTTTTTAAGAGTTATTATTCAACTTATTGAATCTCTGATCATACTCATCTTGCAGCCCCTGTTCATCACTAATTCTTAAGTGGACGTATCCATTTGGTCGCTGCATCATCGAGCTTTCAAATAGATATCCGCTTATCAGCGGCTTCTACAAGCTGCTAACAGTCAATATCACCATCGCGAATCGTGAGGGCTTCCTTTCGGTCGCAGGAGAGGATTCTTTGGATGCTGATGGTGGATATATGAACCTTGATAAGAAGAGAGATTCGACTACTTTTGTGAGTCGCTGCACTGTTTTGAAAAGCTCATGTTAAGCCCTTATCAACATCATTGCCTGTTTAGAATGCTGGAATGGTTTTAAAGGCAACACCAGCTATATACTGAAAAGTGGTGTAAGCCTTGGCATACTAACTTTGACCAGTTTGAACCCGTTTAGTAATCTTTCACTATAAAACTTAATATGTGATTATTTTTACTTCAAGCTCGCCAGTATTCTATGAATTTTAAATGAACTAAATGAATCTGATGACTATGCGTAGTCATGGTACAGACTCACATAGTTCTTCACGAGATTTTTTGATTTCCAAATGCATGAGCCTTAGGCATGTAGCGATCAAGCATTTTCTACAGTGTTTAGCACATCTGTATTACTTGGCTGTTGTGTTTTATATTATTTCGCAGTTTTCTTTGTATGATGCTAGTATTTACCTTTCTTTGGGTCTATTTTTGCTTGCCCAGGCAGGAACAACAGGTGTTTTGGAGGAAGACCGACGACTTTGTAAAGAATTATTTAGGAAATATCTACAGGAGGTTTTGGTGGCGAGCCGAAGATATAAGCTGGAGCTGCTGGCGGCATGTCTCCGCCTTTGCTTATCTGCACCTCCGCTGTTGGTTGGAATTGCTTCTATAATTCCATCCCTGAGAAACGCTTTAAAGATTGGCCTTCGATATCCTCTATGTGACCATACATGACTTTATGATGCATAGATATGTTTTTTGATTGCATTCTCTTAAATTTTTGAAGAAAGTGGATTGAAGTGTCTAAAAGTGCTGATGACAACAGTCCTTCGTTTTGTTATTTGCTAACCCTGATGTCGAGTGTTATGTGTTTTTTCCTTGATAAACTATTCCTTCACATATCCTCCCTTAGCAGAAGTGGCAATGGATTCTTTGGAAAGATGGCAAGCAGCTTTTCCTGAGCAGCTTCAGCACTGGCTTCCTCAGATTATTCCATGCTTGAATGACTATCTTGTGGATGTTGAGAAAGCAGACGTTTCAGAACCAGGGACTTCACTTGTAACAGAGGCTGTTGGGACATCTGCTCCTACTATTTCAAGCATGTCACGGGGGCAGCTGGCCCAAATCAAGCGAGCGAGAGCGAAGGATTCACAGGTAATGCCAAACCTGAATTTATTCAAGATTGCACATTTACTGCAACTTTACCTTGACATAGCATGCATAGGATGGTGTTCTACGATTTCTTAAGTAGGTGTATCTACAGTTACCTTAATTAATAGTTTTAAATTTTCTGAAGTTGATGGGCACATCTTTGAGGGTTTTAGAACTCTTTTTGTTGGTTTTGGCGTCTGTTTAGCTGGACTGTAGTCAAATTTAAGTTCCTTGATGCAATGGGATTGTGTGTAACGAGTTGTATACGGTGGTAAAAGAAAATAACTTCGAGGACTAGCAGTTATACTGGATTTGAAATAGAGTAAAAACACAAAATATATATACATATATATATATATATATATATATATATATATCCACAGGTGCTCCAACATCTCTGATGCTAACGTGAGTAGAAGTCTTGAATTGGTATGGTATATGACTAGTGTCGTTGATGAAGAAACTTGAACATTTCGATCGAGGTAAAATCTAGAGTTGTTAAAACTCGTCTTTGCCCCATTGAATTGAATCCAGTTAACTTTCTGTTTACACAGCCTAGCCCATTCGAGCTTATTCAAGTACGAGTACAGAGGTTTCTTGGGTGCATTGGAGGACTTGGACATTTCCTAGTCCCTGAAGTGGACTTGCTTCAGCTGACTGGTACTGGAGGTTTAGCATGGGATCCAATCGATCGTGTCAAGTTCACTTTGCCATTCCGCCAGGACAAGCCTGATATCTGGCTAGGTACGTCTTTTCTTGTGGTTACTAAGTTGTATTGAACATTATTTGTGATTTCGAACGCATGATTGTTTTGAGGATTACCGCTTGAGTATGATATGAAATTGATTTTTATGTTTTCTGTTAGATTCACTTCTATCGAGAATGGTGGAGATTGCTCTTTCGTCAAGTGACAGGCGCATGAAAGTGACAGCATCTGAGCTTTTGCAAGCAGTTTGTCTTCTCATGCTTGGAAATGCTGCCAAAGGTCCAATGCGTCGTAGGGGCGAAGACTCTCAATCTGTAAGTTCTCTCAGTATTTCTACAATCATTTGTACGGTAAATGAATATTTGACCATCACAAGCCATAATCACTTCTACTTCATTGTTGTCTTTTTTCATGTCTAACTTTCTACTCAGAGCAGACTAAAGCTCTAATTTTAAGCAAATAATGTGTTTAGATGATCATTCTTGGAATTCTGGGCGACATGTGTCATATATGGTGCCTTATGTGTTGGCTTCTCAATGTTGCCTGAAGCGCTGAAACCTTTGCTGGCTTTTGTTGATAATAGGTTCACTTTGATAAAATCTACAAACGGCTTTTTCCAGCTATATTGCGGCTCGCTACAGATGTTGAATTGGTGAACTCCTCACTTCACGGTTCTTACTGTGGTCAATTCTGAGATGTCAGAATTGTAATCTAATAATGTTATTGTCTTTTCACAATTTTGCGTGCTCCATATTGTCAGTGAATTTCTGGTTTCGAGAGGAAGATCCTGATTGCTGGGTGTACTGAAGTATGCAGTTGCTTGATAGTTTCATTAATTCCGCACGTGCCTTGACCTTGTCCCTGCTAACATCTACTCGATCATCAAATTATCAGGTTACCCGACAGCTCTTTCTGGACTTTGTAAAGCAGCTCATCCACTGGTTCACAAGTAATCAGCAAAAGGAAAACCCAGATACGATGGCTCTCTTGGATGCAATACTTGATGGTCTTGTAGATCCTGATAATGGCTCTCTCAGGTCCTTCAACTATTTACTACTTATTTTCGCAAACCCCTTGTGTGATAACTCTTTTTATCCTTCCAATACTGTGCTCTCATCTGAAAGCACGTATGTCATGCTGATAGAAATCAACAAATGGTTCGCATATTCTCACTTTGGCAAGCTATATTATGTTGCAGTAGTTAGTGCACTTCACTTGTTACAGAGTGTAATTTTGAAATTATTGAAGATTTAGTGAACTAAATTTTTGTAGATCTTAACATGTTTACTTCTTCTGCTGTGTAGGGAATTCTGTGCAGACATGTTTTCTGAGTTCTTGCAATGGTCTGTGCGACATGCACCACCCGAGGTTGACTGATCACTGTTGTTTTAAGAACTGCAAATCATACCTCAAAGGATTAGATTGATAGAGCGGTTGCAGATTGTATTAATGAGCTTTATGTTAATAAATCTGTTCCTGCATAAATTAATCATTTTAAGGCATCTAAGATAAGTTCATTCTAAGTTGAATTATGTACTGCGAACAGTGATGCACTGTGGCAAATTACAGGATATAAGGAACCAGATTGTTTCACGCTATTTAATGACTTGTTCTTTGATTCCTGCTTTCTTCACTGTTCAATGAAGCCAGTCATCTTCGTTCAGATATTTCATTGCACATATACCAACATGATGTGTTCGTAGATGCCCAGTAGCTTGTGTCACCAAGATATGGTGCCTTCTGTTATGGTTGCACTGTTTTTGTCAACGTAAGTCATTCACTCTTGTATGTTATTGATATCGCAGGATGACAACTTTGTGAATGTGAGGTCAATGCTGCGTCGTGTGTACAACCGGATGGCCCACCCGAACCCGTACCATCGGTTGGGTGCAGCTATGGCAGCTCATCGTATGTATCCAGTCTTGAGAGAAAATGGAGCAATCGTGGATCGCTATATTTTTGAGATTCTTTTCTTCTGCATCAAGAGTTTGAAGCTTGGAGAGTTAGATGATGAGCAGATCGGTATTTCTGCTTGCCCTCAACTTGTATATGAGAAAATTCATTGCTTGTAATAGTTTGCGGTGGTTCTCGTCAACAGTTACTAAATGTATTCTGGAACTCAGAGCGTTTCTGACCAATATAGCTCCGTCGCGACTGTTCAGTCATCCGTCTAAAATCAGGTGTGATTCCACGTATCAATTTAATATTACTGCTCACATCTTTGTCATTACAGGCACCATGAAGCAGATGAACAAAACTGTTGAGTTACTGCAAAGATTGGTAACACGTAACATTACGCTGCTGGAAAAGAAACGAAAAGATCGACCATTGTTTTTAGCTTTGGATGATTTTCTTCAATGGGTTTTTGAGCAAACGAGATTGTTACATGGGAGAAGTCGCACTAAGTGCATGATGCTCTTTTGCTCCATTTGTCTGTCTATCCCTGGTAAGTTATCACATGCATTGGTTGTTTCGGCATGCTTTTAGTTATTTGGATTCTTGCAGCAAGGTTTTGTGAGAAAAAGTTCATTTGCGTGGTTTCGGACTTTTCTCTCAAATTTTGAGTATACAAGAATCGTGATGTTGCAGGCTGTTCCTCTGCACACTGGTTTCGTGCAAACATATGCTCGGGAGACCAGGTTTCTAGTACAGTGAAACAGTTTGATGTGGGCATGGACTACCCGCATCACCCATCTCTACAGCAAGAACAACTGTGGTTGACGAAGTTTGTAAGGTCAATTCACTGGTTTGAATGGGCTCTTAAGGAAAACATTATTAGCATCAAGGAACTACTTGATTTTGAAAGGGATTGTGTCATCCATATTGCTTCCTCTATATCCGCTTTCCTACAGAGCCTACTCAAATCCCAAGACTCAATTCATCAATTTCTTGATTTAACCCCTGGAGAGCAAGATGAATTACAGAAGCTGAGATATGAAGCAACCACCCACCTTATGAAATTTTGTAGTCAGGTGTTGAATGCCCAGTCTGGATATGCAGAAATTGAAGACCTGGCATTACGAACCATTTTCATGCCTGATCAGAGCAGATATTTTCAGCAACTGTTGTGTCTTGTTTTGTTGAAACCTCGACAGCTTGGGTTAGTTATTTCTGAATTACAAAGGGCCCAAGATCTGGCTAAACTGGCGTCGAAAGTACTAACGAGATTCACACAGCTTTCTTCTAACTTGAAGTCTGAAATGGTCGAATTACTTAGGCGAGTTATTGAGGGTGACGACCCTGCGTATGATCTGAATAATCTTAGCTTTTCATCGAAGATCTCTGGAAAGCCTAAAGCCCTTAGCTTGGAGGATGCCTTGAGTCTTGTCAAGGGATACCAACAACTAAGTCAAGTTAAAATCCTACCACTGGTACTCAACAAAGTTCGTGCAGGGAAGCTCGGGGAAAGGCTAATTCTCACAGTGTTTGGCATTGAACAAGAGTGCCCTCCTTCACTTCAGCCCATTACTGCAGAAATGGTTAATCTTGCTATGAGTTTAGGGGTAAATGCAACTTTCTTAGTGAACCTTATCATGGATGAGAAATCTGTAGGAATTTCAACCAATAGGAAGCTCACATCCGGAGAGGTATTCTACATGAACTTTCGTGACACAATTGTGCATCAGGTTAAGTTCTTTTACAAAGACTGTCTTCGGCTTATTCTGGAGGCGGCTGCTGAGAAACAAGCCGCGCGGATGCTTCTCATTGCATTGCTGGATAGCTACTTAAAACCCAGTGAGATGGGCGCAAGTATCACTAAGAGCAGCTTTATGCAAGAATTTCTACAACATATTGAAGTGCTGGCTCCTCTATGCAGAGCCGGGTCTTCACTCACACTACGGCTGTTTTTTCTGGATATCCTCCACAAACTTTTGATGTTGGATACAGGAAAGGACGTTGTTCTCAACATTAAATACTCTTCTTTCGACTTCATTACCGAGACGTTTCTGTCGTTTCTGAGTTGCTCTTCAGAAGATGCAACAAATAGCAGGCTCGGGAGCAGTGCTGCATTTACTCTTAGAACTACATCCATGCGTCTCTTGCCATTTTTCTTCAGTGCAAATGTAGACTCCGGAGTCCACAGTAAACTCATTCGCATTTTGAGTGGAATTGTGACTGATTATTTACTAGTGAGAGAAGCTGATATTCCTCAGGGCTCCATTCAGCGATCCAACTACACTCAGTTGCTTAACCAACTCCTCGCTGCAGTATCGGTTAGCCATAGCTTAGAACTTCTTGAAGTTATCTTTCCTCTCGTTCAGACTCCTAACAAGATTTCTTCGAGGGCTGTTTCGGAAGCTGTGGAGGTATTTGCAGAGTCCCTAGAAGACAACAGGGAAGCAGCTTTCAACCTATGTTTGACAATGATCATGGACAGGGGTAAATCTTATGAGCTGAGACGTGCTGTTGTTGAAGTTATCTTCGAAGCTTTTGTGAACTCTTCATCCATGGAGTTCGTTACAGTGTGGTACTCTCAGCACATTAGTGACTTGTTTTACGTGCTGAAACAAAGTTCGAGCATGCTAAGTGCTGAAAGGGAGTTTGAAGATCTCTTCAAAAAAATTTGTCATTACGAGTTATTAGAGCTTCTATATTCCAAAGCTGATAATGTTTCAATCACGAAAACTATAGCTCCAGTTTTCACTAGTTCGGATCTCATGCGGCAAGCTGGGGATACATGTCATGGCAAATTAGATCCAGAGTACAAACTTTACCCTGAGAATTTATCTACGTGGCGTGAGCTTCATGCTGCTGCCTACAATTGCCTGGCTGCTGTTATTTTATGCACACAAATAGATGAGAAATGGTTTAATGCCTTCTTATTCAGTGAAAAATCGAGACCTTTATGGCAACATTTAGTGGACTTGACTAAGGTCTATGATGATATGTCTGTGGAGACATCCCAGTCAAGTATAATTAGTCAGACGGTAAAAGGTATGAGAGCTGACCTGAAGGCTCGTCGTACCAGAGGTAAAGGGTCCCTGTCCCAGACGGCTTCAACCATCTCCTCTCAGTACATGCATAGTGCAAGCCTTAGCCAAGAGCCTGCTGTGATCAGAACGTTTGTGGGTGGAATTAGAAAGGAGGAAACCTCTGCAGCAGGCGTAGGTGCAGGACTACTACTTGACGAGGAATCACCATCTACTGAAACAAATATAGAAACTGCGGAGCAAGGTCAGTTGTAATATTATTCAGATTCTGTTACAGTTTGAGTATTTGAAATGTACTGGATAGATATTCGACTAATGAATATTTATCTTTTCTTTTTTGTAACACGGGTAATAGTATCTGTAGTGATACTTGGCATGCCACATTCTCATGCTTAATAATTGATGGTGTTCATTGAGCTTTCATGTTACTTAAATTGACCTCTGAATTATGTGTACGGAGAGCCTGCAGAAGAAATTATCGAAACTACAGCACTTGACCGTGACGATTTTGACCAGCACGAGTGCATGCCTGTTATACTCCGGTTGGCGGAACATGTGCATGTAAAGTTCGGAGCAAATTACCAACCAGGAGTGATGCCGGATTGGATGAAGTCTCTTCATGCTACCCTTGACAATGCAGGTTAAGTTTTCAGCACGCCCTCTGAAGTTGCATGTTTAGACTAATCGTTATGACAAATCCTTTCAGGATCATTTTAATAGTATCTTCATTTTGATAGTAATTTGATAGTACATGGAGCTTGTTGCCAGCGATCTCATAAAGCATTTTCTTGTTGTGACACATTCATTTTATCTAAGAACATTTGTGCTTTGTAACCTGTTATCCTACCAGGCTTATATGAACTTCAGTGAGTTCGGATTTTTTAAATTGTACTATTTGTAGGTTTTTGTGAGATGACTCACTAACATTTATAATCATATTTCTAGAAGAAGAAAAAGATGAGTATTATCCTGTTTTACCATGTAATGGATGTTTCGTAACTAAATTTTTGTTTGTCATGCAGCTACACACATCAATGTGCGTCTCTTCCTTGCAAAAGTAATCACAAAGACACGCAAAATCTTTGCTCCACATGCAGCTGATTGGATTCGGCCTTATGTCCAAACCATTTTGATTGATCCAAGAAAGTCAGGAGGCTTGAAGTTCCACTACATGCTTCGAGATATATGTGTAACCATTCTGCAGTGGAACGTAGCGTCCGCTCCTGATGGTAGGCTTGCAACCAATTTTGTTCACCATTTAATCAGCGTAGCTGACCATGGATCAAATCAAGTATTACGTGCAAACATTGACATTATTCGCCTCTTTCTAGAAAATTGGAAAGGAAGCATCAGTCTCGAAAGAGGCCAGTTGCTACAGTACCTCATCTCTGGAGGTAGGAATCCGGACATGAATGATAGAAATATCAAAATGAAGCGGTTGGTAGGGCTACAGTTGTTGGGAGCGATTGTCGGATCCGGTATTCCTATCTATGACCCTTCGTGTGACTTTTCAACTTCTGAAGAGCATATATGTGAAGCTTTGCTTAACAACTTGAATGTGAAGACAAAGGAAGTATATGAAGCTGCTGCCGAACTCGTGGGAATAACTATGATATACAGGAAAGAGTCGAGACAAGTCAATGAGGAGATACTTGAGGCAAAGTTGCACAAAATTCTCAAGCAGCTGTATAGGGAAGCAGAGTACGAAAGGTTTTTGAACATTCTCAATAAAATAACTATTCGTCATCCCGGTTTTCTTGAAGGGTATGCTGAAATGGTAGTGGATCAGCTCTCTCGCCTATTTGGAGCCTACAAAGTGAATGCTTTAGATACCCTTTTGAGATTTCCTAAAGCAGATGCAAACCTCTTTAATCAGATATCGCGGTCATTACCCAAGCTGCTGGCACACAGAGATGAGATTGCGCAGTTGAAGATCCTGCAGCTTCTTTCGCAGCTGCTGAAGAATGTTAACCAAGATACAATTAGAACGAGAGTACTGCCAGTGCTTTGCGACAATTTTAATGGACACGAAAATGTCGACTGCAGACGGGAGTTCTATGAGATCCTTATCTATCTCTTCAAAAATAAAGGCATGGACAAAGAACGACTTGTGATACAGTCGTTGCTCATGGGATTATGTGACAGCTCTGATATAGTGAGAGCAAGCTTACAAAACTTTTGGCACCTGCAACTCTCCCAGGTAAACGTCTCCACTGCAATTATGTCTCTTGATTTTATGTTTTCTGGTTTTAATTCTCTTGATTATTTTGATTTCGCTCATTTAAGATTTCTTTCTTAAACCTATGAACAGGAATATTGTCGTAAACCATTTAGAAGAATAATACCCTCGTGTTGCTATTATGCTTCTCAGTACTTGCGCTGCGTGTCACGAGGTAGCTAGTAGTGCCAGACCGGGATGTAGTTACCTCTCAATTCATTAGTGCACTCCCACCAACTCCTGCAGAACCCGCAAACTGAATACTAGATGACAACCGATGGCAACGTAGTTATTGCGGATGGAGTATCCTTCCACCGTCAATGAGAGCGTTCCTTTCATGTTGCAGAAAGTCCTCAGAGTGGGCGCTATTCGTGGGTACTTTCTAAGGTGAAATGTAGCAGATGGATTATTAGTAACGCCCCTGGATGTCTTGTCATTTTTTTCAGTTCATGTAGCCAACTAGTCGTCAATGTGGTATGGACGCTGCAGGATGTTCGGCACCGCTTTTTGGAGCTTGTGAATCGAATTTATGATCCTTGTTTGGAAGAAAACTGGGCACAGATTTCTAATGTTCTAATTCTGAAGGTATGCTTGAAGATATTCTTTCCTTCTGCTCGTTTACATGATGACGTGGCAGCGGGCATCAAAAAAATCTTGAAACTGAGAGTAATGGTTTTTCTTGTTGAGCTTACTTGTAGAATGTGCTGTATCATATTGTAATTGTTGTGTCGGATATTTGAGATTACTCCATCTGTTCATCACGTGCGCACTGCCTTGTATTTCTCAGCTTTGCGAGGACTCGGTGGACTACAAGCGGCCAATCTTCTCAGCTCCCCTATCAGAGTGTGTGTTTCAGGACTATACCATTAACACTTCATGGGTCGGTGCCAGTCTTCCCATGACCCCTTTGTTCTCCAGCTCGCAAATGAGCATGGACATCCAAGGCATGCACGGGGAGGACAGAGATGGAGAGTTTGATGGAGCAACTCATCATCGGCCGATGATGATCCGAGCAACCATGACCCCTTCTCTTTCACAAGCTGTTACTCAAACTCAAGGTGGCACTTTGAGCTCCACACAAGGTGTTAATGGGAGTGTGCTCTATGGTCTCTCGCAAAGGCCAGGTGGGGCTGGTTACATCAAAAAAACTGGTCTAGAAGAGGCCTCATGGATGGATCCTGCGCTGCATTTGCGGCGGCGAATTTTGAATCCACGTGCGACTCAGTCTCAGGTGATTTCTGATGTACATGAAACTGAGCTACTACTATTTTGTTTTTTGAGGTTTCAATTCTTCGTTCAGAATGTGTACATCTTGCGAGCAGGTTTTGACGGGAGTTTTTCGAGCAAGTCGAAGGCGAGAAGCTCGTTTAAAACTTCAGTCTTTGGAGCGTGCAAACAAGGTGCACATGATGAGGCAATACCGCACTGGTAACTCTCGAAATCCTTACAACAATTCTTTTCTCTGCCAGCACCCATTACATTTCTGGTCTGGTCTTAATCGTGTAGCCTTGAGAGTTGTGCCCTTAAATCGTTATTACCGTGCAGGTGAGCTGCCGGACATTGAGATCAAGCACGCAGATATTGTCGGTCCTCTGGCAGCACTGGCAGAGAGAGATCCTACCTTTGCGAGACTTCTCCTTCGTATCCTTTGCAGTGCTGTGTACTCCCTACCATCGGGAGGGCAAGACATCAAAGCAGAAGTAAGACTGGGGCTGGAGGCTGCTTTGCGGCAGACGCATAATGGAATTTCTTTCGTAGGTTGTGCTGAGGCCCTCTGCCTCGAAGATCCTGAAATTTGGATATCACCCAAAATCATGGGTTCGGCGAGCCGAAAATCAACGAATTATCATTCAGGAATTATGCTACTTGAGAAGCAAATCATGAACGAGACATTTCCAGAACCAGAGCCGAATGTGAGTAGCAAGCGGCAAAAGGGAAAGGGAGGACAAGCCAACAGGCTTCCACGTCCACTGGAGGATGCTTGGTTGGAATTGGCTGAGCTGTATAAAGCTCTTGGAGAGAATGACATAGTTCTTGGGCTCTTTGGGACGCATGTCGCCAAGCACGAGAAGACCCGCAGAGCTCTGGAAATCCAGCTTGGTGGGGATTTAAGACAAGCTCTTGACCTTTATGACCAAGTCATAGCCATATATGAGGACGGTAAGATCCTAATCTCTTCTTGGAAATACACAACCGAATTGTAGCTCAAATCGACAAGAGCATAGCAAGTATGTCAAGTATTGCTTTGAAAGTCCTACTGGTTTGAATCTTGCTAAAATACAAGTCACATGCTAGTTGCGGGCACGCACTAATGCTGGCATCGCGAGACTGCAGGTTCTCTTAGTGGTGACATTACAAAATCAGAAATCGACATATGGTACAACCAGCGCCTCGCTTGTCTTGCGGATCTTAATGAATGGGAAGTGTTGATGGGAGAAATTGAATATGAAAGCATGGAGGGTGATAATAGTGAACCCGATTTTAAGCGTTTATGGGAGCCAACAAAGCAGGAAATTTATCTTGGTTATTTTATCAGGGGAGCTGTGAAGGAGGCGAAATATCATGGACTTCTTACCGAGTTTGTTCAATCATCTTCAGAAATTCTGCCCAAGAGACAGTTTTTACTGAACGAATTTAGCACGCAGTTGGCCACCTTGGCTGCTATAAATAAAGAGTGGGATAGGGCAAGATTTTACTTGGGACAATGTCATTTGATCTTCAGAAGACAATGGTCTGCGTTGCATCCCTTTGCACTTGGTAGTCGTCATCAACGCGTAAGACAATTGCAGAAGATCGTGGAGCTGGAGGAATTCATCACTTTTATCTCTAAACCAGAAGCGGGAGAGCTTTCAAGGTTGTTATTCGTGATATAGTTTTCCATTCTGAACTTGGTTCGCTGTCGTAAAAGTTTGTGATCATCTCATACGTCATTTCCAACCCAAATGGGTGGAGATACTTTAGTTAAACTTCTGAAACAGGTGTTCAGTTGTAAGCTCCTTGAGTTGTGAATCGAATTTTTCCACGTCTAATTCGAATTGAACTCATTATACAAATGAGCCCCTAGTTGCTACCAACATTATGTCATTGACTTTTGTTGCCCGTATGGTTTTTCAGGTTGCTTAGCGGATGGCACAAACGTTGGCCGTCCCCTAATTTCGATGACGTGGAGGCCTGGGATGATATTGCGCAAAATCGACTTCTATTTCTCAAATATATACAAGAACATTTCAACAATCCGGTACAGAGAAACTCGTTTGATGACAAATTCTGTAACTCGATTTCTTCTCTAATTGATGCAGAAAGAGCCCACTTACATGTTGCAGTTGCCAACGGGCTTATGGAGTGTGGAGCTCTACCTGTTGCACAGGTACGATGGCCCTCATTCCTAACACCAGCGTCGGCTGTCTCGGTAGACTCAGGATGTTGCCATGTTTGCATCTGCTTTCACATCTATCACCTGTATGCTTCAGTTAGAATTCAATATTCAGCTCTATTTTCCTGTATCCTAATGTTTATTTTTTAGCCCATACACCAGATGCTCTGGAGTTCTTTCCTCTTACCTCTCTTTGCCACTATGACAGAGCTACATCAACCGTTATATGTCTTCAAAATTTGAATTCTCTGCGAAGCATCGGTTAGATTTCAGAAATTTCAAAGCGTTGGTGAGGCTTCAGTGTTTGCGAGCTGAGCGGGACGAGTCAGCAAACAATAGGATAAAGAAGCTTCAGCAGGTTTGTTTTCTGTGAGAAATTCTGTCTGTACTCCTGTTTGCACACCGATCAGATACTTTACCGCAGAAATCATGGAAGGTATGCATATCTTGAAATGTGAACTGAAAATTTTCTAGCTGATGGATTTGTCTCGTTTGTACTGGCATTAGTCACCAACCTCATGTCACTGCTTCCTGGTTCTCGAAGATGTACACTCTATGATTTGCGGCTTTTGTCTTGTTGTTGTGAATCAGCAACCCTTACAACTGAACACTTACTGGGATTTATGTTAATTTATTTGGGTGGGGAAAAAGTTGTTCCGTTTAGGAATTTTAAAGTTATGTTCTCGTTGTCTTTTCTAGTTATTGGTTTATATAGAGACTGAGAGGAGAAAGCTTTCGAAGCACCCAGAGTTTTTGCCAGAGTTTCAAATGGAGCAAGCTGATGTCAATGCTCGAGTTGCATGGGCAACTTTGTCATCTCAGTCCGGAGAAGGTGCGACGTCACAAGATATCACAGCTTGTTTTGCCCTCCTGGGATCAGCTTTTAAGACATACTCGACCGCACTTGATAACGATGATCCACTGTCAGAAATCACAACAGGTGAGAGTTGGAAAGACCTCGTTAATCCTTTCAAGAGTCTGCATCGAATAAATCTGGGTAGTTTTACTGTTGCAACAAAACAACTTAACAGATAATGCATTCATATTTGTGACGTACAGGCAGCTTGTCACCACATGATACAGCTAAGGCATTACTTAAGTTTGGTCTCTTTTGCGACGAACTTCTTAAGTTATCACAACAGCCTGAGGAGAGAAGTCAGATGACGCAGCATCATTTGTTTGGGCTTCCACAAGCATCAGATCTATCCTTACTCGTTGTGCGACACATGCTGAAAGCATTGGCGCTTGACAGTACCCTTCAAGCTCAACATGCAGTGGCGAGGCTCCTTTCTTTAGTGGGTTTTTCTTCTGCAACACAAAATGAATTTGAAAGGTTTCTTGACAATGTGTCAAGCTGGGTTTTTGTGGCATGGATACCACAGATGCTGGCTAACATAGAGGAAGATTCAGGCCGTGTGCTGATCAAAGTATTAGAATCTATTGCAAAATCGTACCCCCAAGCACTGTATTTCCCGTTTCGTGTCAGTGAGACTGATTTTGGGGCAATTGGCCGGCAGCGTACCCAACACTTGAAGATTCTTTTAAGGAACCCTCTGCTTGAAGGCCTAGTTCGAGCGCTTGAAGATTTAACATTTCCCCAGCAGCGGTTGAAGGATGGCCTGTTGCAAATATTGAATTTCTTGTTTACCAACGACAGTGAGCGAGCTCAATTGGTCTTCAATGAGATTTATCAAGATTGCCTGGACACCCAATCGCTGAAAGACCCTGTTCGTCAAACTGGAGAGTACAATCTGAAGTTCGCTCGTGACTGGGCATCCCTTATTGTACATTCTTGACCCTTAGCCATTTCGCTCGTTTTATAAGTCAATTGTTGTCTGGAATTCAAATAATTATAATGTATTATAATGACCCATCATGTAATTGAGTTCCCTTGCCCTCTATAGACAAGTTCTAAGAAGCTACCTACTAGAGGCTGTTTTATTTTCCATTAAAATCGGCATGCACGCGTCTTAACCAGCAGTCGTTGAGTGTTGCCATGACACGTCATACAGGTGAAGGAATTGGGACTGAATGGAAGCAAGCTACGATCAATGGATGCAAAGCAATTTTCATCCGTCATTAGTGGCTTATTTGAGAAGCTCTCAAAGAATGACATTTCAGCTGAAAAGATCAGCCTTGGATCGCTATCCAAGTGGTTAGCTGACTTTGACCAAACCAAGGGAATTGAAAGAGTAAGTAGAGATTTTGACAAAAACGAAATGCAGATTGAGATTCCTGGACAGTATAACGGCTCCTCTATACCCAACTTGTCAACACATGTACAGCTTCTGGGCTTTGATCAAGTTCTGATTTGCTTGAAATCCAAACAACGTCCTAAAATTCTCACTATGCGGGGTTCTGATGAAAATGATTACAAGTTCGTTGTGAAGGGAGGGGAAGACCTCCGCCTCGATCAAAGAATTGAGCAGCTTTTTGAGGCGATGAATAATGTCTTGAATCGGGATGCGGCATGCTCACAGCGGAAGCTTGCTATAAGAACATATTCGGTTATTCCTGTGTCCAAAAAGTGCGGCTTGCTGCAGTTTGTTGAGAATACTTGTGTTCTGCAAGAGGTTATCAGAGATGGTTTATCGTCAAAATTAGCAAGCCGCACGCATGAAGGTTATAAACCTCTCCAGGCTACGTCTGAGACACTACTGAAAGAGATCCAACACGAATATATAGAGTGGGTACGAAAGAAGGGTGGAGGTAAGAGCCAGACCGAATGCTACTGTAACCTATATAGAAAGGTTGGGTTTGAAGAAGTGTCTCTGAAGCTGAGTGCACTCCAGGGTCAGCTGCCATGGGATACGTTGCGCATGGGATTTAGTAGGTAAGAATCGAATCTTCTTTTTGCTGCTTATCGCTCTCTTTATCAATTTTCAATTCATCTACACTTGATCCTTTTGAGCTGGAAGTGATGATGCACTGTAACTCCCAGATCAATCTGCTGCCTTTTTGAGCTGGGAACATCTGAAAACTTATTGTTAATGTTCATTTTCTTGTTCTAACCAGTTTGAATGTGAAGTCTATCAGTTATGTTTCTTATGAGCGTTCTCGTGTTATGATTTCCAGGTTGGTCACAAGTGCGGAATCTTATCTTGCTCTACGTTCTCAATTTGCCCGTAGTCTATCTGTTACTAGTATATGTGGATATGTAGCAGGGGTTGGGGATCGGCATCTTGGCAACACCCTGGTGGACATGAGGACAGGGGCCCTTGTTCCTATTGATTTTGGGTACAGTTTTGGAACAAACGTCCTTCTCCTCCCAGTTCCAGAGCTTGTGCCGTTCCGCTTAACGGCTCAGCTTAAGAACTTTCTTCTCCCGTTAACCGCTGTGGGACTTTTACGCAGCGACATGGTTCGCATCATGACTGCTTTGCGCGGAAGCAGAGGTTTAATCTCTGCTGTCATGGAGGTTTTTGTGAAAGAGCCCCTCGTTGATTGGAGACAGGAGGCTGTGAAACTGCAGCGAGCACGTGCCCGTGACGTCTCCAAGTCTACAGCACTCGAAGCTGATGCGGGTGCAAATCATCATGTATGAACACTCCATCCATCCCCTCTCAAATTATGAAGGTTATTTCAAATTCATAAATCTGGGCACTAGTGAAGATGCCAAAAATTGTCGAGCATGTCCTGATACCATCATGTGGTTCTCCCTGAGTGTTGTGTTACAGATGGCGGCGTTCTCCGAAGAAGAACATGTGCAACTTAAGGTAGAGACTGCTCAGTGCAAACTCGATCTTTGGAACCCAGCAGAGATCACTATCTCCGAGCTCGGGTTCTCCGTCCACGCGAACAAGCCTTACACTAGAGCACTTGAAGAGATTGTGCGTGGTGATCCCAGCCGCAATATTCGTGCTCGTGTGGCGGGTAACGTCTGTGTATCAGTTCAAGAGCAAATCGACTGTCTATTGGACCAAGCTACTGACCCCAATTTGCTGGGACGTATCTTTGCTGGATGGCAACCTTGGGTGTAAACAAGTTTACCACAAGATCTCACAAGTATGGACTACCTTCTATTTGCCAACGTTTGTGAAGTAGACCGATCGCGTAGACTAGTAACTTTTTAGTGATGAAGATTGTAATCCATATCTGGCAGAGTTCAATTGGGTTTGAAGAGATCTCGACAGAAAACTATACCCAGTATGTATATTTCAGCGACAGTTATTGTAAAGATATATCTTTATAGACAATTGAATTATAATTGGGCAACGTATCAATTTTCTATGATTGTCTAGTAATTTTAGAATCCACGCAAGCTTTCCTGTACCATCTGAAATCTTATTAGTGGTCAGGCTAAACTTCTGAAAACTTGAGAACTATAACAGAATCTTTTTGTTGTTGCGTTGTTGTATCAGCTTTGAAGATTAATACATAAAGTGAATCAAACATCAATGATGTTATAAAACAAATCCATGACGTTACTTCCATTTCAGAACGTACGAAAAACGGAGCTGTAGAACATTTCTAGAAGAAATTTATTTCCACGAAAAAAAAAAAAAAAAAAAAAAAAAAAAAAAAGACTGTACAAGTACAGCCGGTAACGAATAACAACTGGTTGTATGACAAGTCAAGCAATCATATATCCAATGGTAACATGACCATAAAACAGGTTAATGAAAAATGGCATGTATAGTGTAGAAAATCTCCTGTGTTTCCTGCAGAAAATCACCATTGAATCTGTGTAAATTTGATACAGCTGTTCCTCGTTCTGCTTCAACGAGGATCAAAAGGTCAAGAGGAAACCTTGAGCAAGTGAAGAATGGCTAGTTACAGTGCTAACGCCTCATAACCAAATCTTGCATGTTTTTGTCGGACACATGTGCTTCTTTGAACTAAAACAGCTGATAGCAAGCACTTGATGAACCCATGCCTTCATGAAGAAGACCGTCCTAGACTCATTCTTGCGAGTCGAGAAACCTTCATATCATGCTGCAAAAATGATGCAAGTGAATTTATCACCATTCAAAATGTAGTCGCAGCACCATGATCAAAAGAATGTTTGACCTGAGGTTGTCTTTGTGAGGTAACATCAACTTCTCTCATGATCTCAAAGCGAGCGTTCCCCTGAGCTTGGTATGCCAGAAGATTCGTATAGTACCCCACCCTTCCCGGAGACCCACCTGGACCAGCCTGAGAAAAACTGACTTTTGGGTTAATAAAGACGGTTTAAGAAGAAAAATAGGACAAGGGCAGTGCTGGGATATTCCAGACAACCAAATCTCAGATTAAGTTTACCAAGTTAAGTCGTAGCTGCGGAATGCGAAAGTGTACAAATCACTTACGTCTGTAACACCTTGATTTGGTGGTGATAAGTTCGAAACACTAAGGTTGGGAGGGGCTAGATGATTGTGCGGTGATTGAAGCTGTTGCCCCTGTTGTTGCTGCGGAATCCACTTTGGGTAAGGCTCAAGTTGTGTAACTTCTTCGGTATCTGCGGACGATGTCAATGTGAGCATCAATTGGTTATTAACTTTGAGCTACATCAAACAAACTAAACTTCAGACACTAGTGAGGCAAGAGATACAAGCAACAGTTGTGGCCAACTTGCTAGAGCTACCGGGAAAGGGAATTCAGAACAAACTAACCAATGCACGCCACTTCTTTACAAGTATCCTCAGAATCTGGCCACTTCTCATCTTCCGGATGTGCAAGAAATGTTTGTTCTGCAAGACATTACAGAAACAAGAATGAGGTACACGGGAGTATCGAAGTTCATTGAATATACGGAACGTACGCAGGTGCATAGCATCAAGTTGCAGATTGCCCTGTTTAGAACAACTTTGGTAAACATAAATGAGAGAAAAAAAATGCTCCAGCTCCCTAAGGGAGAGATTCCTCTTTTGAAAGAAAGAAAAGAGAAGAAGATGCAAACCGCAAGAGCTAGAAGATAAAATCCACACCTCTTTGCCACTTCTTCGCAGCACCCTTGATCCCCCACTCCTCGCCAAGAGTAAGTGGGTGATGTTGGTTAATCGACTCTAATAAAGACGGAAGTTCATCAAGATTAGACATAAGAGTTTTTGCTGTGAAACCCATCTCCTTGATTTTGACAACCGTTTCAGGTCGCAGTCCAAAGCCGTCAAAGAAAGTGTCAAGATCTACAGAAGCCATGATGGAGCCCTGACAACAAAAACAAACAACGGAACTTCATGGGTAGTTGTAGAATAATGTCTTCTCGGAAATGTTTATCACCTGGTTAGAACACTAAGTAAGATACCAAAAACAAGCCAAATAACACAAGACCGGTCAGATACTAAAGGAGTGTGAAGTAGCAGCAAGCAGAAATTAAGATGTTTTTCGATTGAAGTTGGCTCGTAACCTTCCAAGCGACAATAACAAGTTTTATGAAGAGGTTTATGCAATCGTGACCTATTCTGAGTAACATTTCAGAAAACTCATCGAAACCGTGATGACATCTCCAAAATCGTTTCGAAGATGCCAAAATGCATGACTCTTTACAACATACAGAAGGTAGTTAGCACTGTCCACCCGTGAAGACTTAAAATCTCTCTTCCTATCCGCATTTGCAAACACAAACTAACTACCATTGCCTGTGTTCGATGAACAAAAGCAGTGCTTCACTACAAACAGTTGTCTTAATCGACTAAACTAAACGAGCATCTAAATTTCCCCTTCTTCTCTAAAACATTTTGGACGCAAAATACGCATGCAAAGGGAACACTTTTAAGATGGTTGCTCAGTATATCAATGGTATTTTGAGAAACAACAAAAGATCAACCTACACTATCCTACTTAGCGATCATCGCCTTGTTCAAGTAACTCACTCTACCACTCAACAAATGCTCCCCCTCCGACAAACATCGTTTTTCTGACGATCTCTTCATAAACAATATCAAATCCAACAACTACCTCTATATTCTTACCAGTTTTTAAACTCATACCTCTAAGAAGAACTAAAGGCAAGAAAAAAAATTAAATGCAGACAATATATTGGCACAAAATATGAGTCAACCTAATTCACATACTTAATGGGCAGCTATCTAATTGACTTCCTTCACTCTAGGGCATCCAACGAGGTACATATTCTCTTCCAAAACCCGATACCAAAGCATTTTAGATGTGATCAAGGTTCGGAACCATACAAGGTAGCGATTGTTGAATCAGACACTCACAACGAAAGCTAACCAGTTCGTGGTATCGCACGCTCAAGCATTCCCAATATACTAAGAACATAACCAACCTTGTTTTTACGCTAAACCGATTGCACCACAAACGAAACAGCTCACACTGCGGTCAGTGCGGATTGCACAATGTCAAACAGGAAACTCCAATGCCCTGTGGTATATTCCCTGATTTGGGATACTTCGAAGTCCTTAACTTCCCTCCAAACCCCCAATTCACCAACAATGCCAAGCCACCCAAGCCAATGTAATGCAGCTCAGGTTTTTCTAAATTACAATAATTTTTTTAAAATCAACCAAATACACCCCTAAATTGACATGAAAGGGACGCAATCACTGAATTCCAAACCCGACATCACAAACACATACCATCCGCGCGAGAAGCTCATGTTGCAAGCTAATCCGCTCCGCCTTCCGCCCCAAACCCCCTTTCCCGTCAAAATGATCGGCACTACCGGACGAGTGGTCCGAGGCCGACGACGTCCCCCTCACTCCGCGCATCTTCACGGGCTTTCGCTTCTTCTGCGTCTGCTCTCTGGCAATCTCAATCAATCTAAGCTCCTCGCGCGCGTCGTCCGGCACCGTGGGGCACCCGGTCACGCCCGCCTGACGCTTATTCCCAAGTAGGTGCGCCCGGATCCGCATAGCGTTCCCTTGAAACTCCTTGTCGCAGTGGATACACCGCACTAGCGTCGCCATGCCGTGCTTCTCCGGCTCCTTAAGCACTATCACATGGTTCCATTCCACTCCCTTCACCTTCACCATCGCTTACAAACTCCCCCTCCACATCCGTCGTCTCACTCTTCTTCTTCTTCTTCCTCCTCCTCCTCCGCCACCACCTACTAAATCCCTCTCCCCTTTCCTTCACTCACTCACTCACTCACCTTCCTACCACCTGCAACCCTAATTCCGCAACCTCGACAATTCCGCCAATGAAAACAAAAAACCAAAACAAAACTGCAAGCCGGGCTTCCACTCTTGAGGCCAAGCTCTACAACGGAAAACCCTGCCTCCCTGTAATGCTGTCACAGCAGCATCAATTAGGCGGGGACCATGGGAGGACAAGCAAGCAATCGATACTCGTGGGGCGAGAGCCCATGCAGCAGCTGCAGCACGACGATGGGCTTCCCCTTCTAAAACCCCAACTCCCCCTCCCCTCCCCTCCCCTTCCTCCTCCTTTGCGACCACGGCTCAGTTGCGCGGTGGCTGGTCGTTCCTGTGGCGCTGCGCCACAGCCAGTCTCTCCCTCGCCAAGCTCTGATGTTGTGTTTTCTCATATGAATCTCACACCATGAGATCAAGTGCGGTTTATTGTTGTTGTTGGTGTTTTTTTCTTTTTTCTTTTTTCTTTTTCGAGGTGAGTTAATAATTCAAATTTCAAGTATCAAATGTACAATTTAAAAAAATAACAAAAGAATATCTTAATTTCTAAAAGCTTACAATTATATATATATATATATATATATATATATTCCAAATACAATTAACATGAAGAAGTTAATGAAAGTAGTTTGTAATTTAGAATCTAAATATATATATATATATATATATATATACTAGCTGAACCCATGACGTTTTCACAAAACTATTCCCTAAACAAATACTATTTAGGGCAATAAATACACATGTCTGTAAAAGCTCTTATATAGGAAAAAAATCTCTCAATGAATGAGGTTTTAGTGGATTGCTTTTTTATGCTCTATAAACTCAAAAGCTAGATATGCTTCAATTTATAGTTCTATAAGCATTGTTCAAGACACAGGTGAAGCTCATAACAACCTATGCAGTGGCAATAAATCCGGTGATGCATTTGAACTTTTCAATCAAGTATAATCTTTTGCTTGCACTCCTACAATTCATGCCTTCACCAAGACCAAGCTGATAAACATTCTTATCAACAACAAAGAGTTTGAGAGAGCAAAGCTTGTGTATAAGTAGCTGATATAGAAAGGATGCCAATTGAACCGTTTTGGGTACAATGTTTTGATACACTACTTTGGCCACTCTAGTCAACTGGATTTGGCTATGGAGATGTTCAGAGAAATGAAGATTAAGAGATCAAAGCTTGATAAATATACTTATGGCTTTTTGGTGAATGCTCTCGGTGGCAAAGAAGCTGCATGAAGCTTGCTCATTCTTTGATGCTATACTTGACAGAGGTTTAACTCCAAACATCCCTATTTACAACCTCTTTATGGATGCTTTCAGGAAGATTGGCCATTTAAATATGGCATTGGTACTCTTTGTTGAACTTTTCTAACCTTTGATGGTAACATACAACATTGTCTAAGATGGCCAACTACTCAGAATTAGGTGAAGGATAATGATACGGTAGATTACCACTACAAAAACAATCCAACAAACTCCACATAGTTCTCACCTAATATAAATTAGGTCCAATAAAATCTTCCACAGCAGATTTTGAAGGCACAATGTTTTGTCTCATTACACACAACGCCAACTATAGTGACATTTCAAACTTCACAAAATTGCATTTTTTTAATGCATTTTGAATTGCACAAAGTACATATTTAGAGCTTCAACAAAGACAAAAAACAACAATTAGCTCCAGTGATCAAGAAACATAACCCACCCACCTCTAAAAGACCAACTGCTATTGACATTATATTTTAGACTACTGAAAAGTTCTCTTTGAGCTATGCATTAGTAAGACATAACTCACAAATTTTTCTTAAGCATATTAAAAGAACATATACAATATATTTGTAGATAGAATTTGATTGAAATCTTGAAATAAAGACAACAAAACACTTAATTACTGAACATGCAATCCGGGAGGCATAGTACAAATTCTAGAGCACATGTGAACAAAGAATCTCCTTGAATGTTCTTATTTCTTAAAATGCAATATTAAACATGGTCATCACATGTAATGATCACAACCTAGGATAATAAATCTCAACAATGCTTAAAAAGATATGGTGGTTAGTAAAATTAAAATTATATAAAAGCATGCACAAAGTTGAATGACAAACAAAGGTCAAACCCATTGAAACCTTGAAACAAAATAATTTAGGCTAAGCTTTTCCATTGTAGTATTTTACATTCTCTAATGCCAAAATAGCTAATCCTAAGAGGTACAATCTTTTAGTAAAACTATGTAAAAATGACTATGCAAAGGAGCAAACATTGAGCTAATGCAATTACAATTCCTTTGTGCATCCCTTGGCACAAAGTCGAGGTAGCATCCTTGTGGATTATGTTTCAACAATGTGAACAATGCACACATATCAGCTGCAATTGGGCACCTTTTTAGGTTTTATGAACAATCTCCAACATGTATTGAGCAAACACTGAGTTGGAATTCACTGTGAACAACTTGAGTCATGATGTTGTGCAGAGTATGCCTTCATTGTTCTAAAACATTTCAAGGCACTTTTAAGGAAGGCTTTGTAAACTCAAGTTTTGATTCACTTTTGATAAAATAATTAGGCATGTTGCAAATCAAAAATGGTTTTGTTTCCTCTTGTTTATCTCTTATATTTGTTCCTCCTTGAGCTGTTTTATATAAGAGATTCATTTTTTATTCTTTTATTTACTAATAATTATACACATAAAAATAAACATGTAAAATAAATAATTAATTATTTGAATTAAATTAAATTTTTAGATTAATATATTTCTTTCAAATCAACCATAAAAATTATGTATAATTAAATTATATAAAAAATATTAAAAAGATATGTATACACATCTATTTTTTTATTATTCATTAGTTGTTCTTTTTCAAAATCTTCTATGGTTTTTTCAGAGATACTAAAACCTTTGGCAAATTTTTAATCCTTTTTAGATATTCAATTGTCTTTCATAAGTTATTTAAGACAATGATAACAACAAAAAAAACAAAAACAAAAACAAACAAACAAAACAAAAAAAATAATTGTTTTCTGTATGGATTAATTATTCCTTGGTTTTAATTCTATCTTTATATTTCTAAAATATCATAATCTATTATCATTAGATACTTTTTTTTCACGTATATTGAAAATTAGATACATGTTTATAATGTTTAAAAATGACAATACTATGCTAATTGTGGATGCTAAGATTAGAATCTAAGAAATGTTTTGTAAACAGTAAATCAATTATGAATAAATTCTTTTAATTTTCTCTTATGACATGAATCTTCTAATCTTCATAGATTTTTATTATTATTTCTGATTTTTTCAATGAAATTAATACTATAAATTTATTTGAAAACCATATGGATGTATGTATGTATATATATTTTTTGCTTATCATATGAAACTTATGTTATTGTATTAATAGTTTCAAAAATCTTCAATACAATTTTTGTAATGCAGTTCATAAATTTTTTCATTATATATATATATATATATATATATATATACCAAATATCAATAGTCTTTAATAAAGAAACAATGTGTACATTCTGCATTTGATATAAACTTTACTTAAACCATACTTTTACAATTTCAAAAGGTCTTTTAGATTCTCTCTAAAAAAAATTGTATGTGTTTTACAAATTTCCTACACAATCTAAAAGTTAATAATAAAAGAATAAAAATAATTTTTATAAAAGTGTTATTGGGCATGGTATCATTACCAAATTTTGAGGTAGATTTAACAAGAATATGTATTTCTTGACTCACACATTTGTCAAGGAACAAAAATTATTAGAAGGAATTTTCGTGTTTTTTATTTTTATTTTCCCATCTACATAAGGCTAGAGCAAGTTCGATTTTAAGTTTTATGGAACGATTATGTAAAATGGGTATTATTGTAGATGGGAAAATAAAAATAAAAAACACATATTATATTCTTCAAAAGAAATTGAGGTAACATTGGAGATGTCCCAAGATTTTCAAAATCCCATGTAGGGCAATTTGGGATGCCAAAAAGAATTAATTTGGTTACAAAACATGTGTTGTGAACTGAAAAGAAAGATTTGAAATATACTGAGACCAACACAAGAGTGTCATTTGTGTTGGCTGAGGCTACAATATTGCTATAAATAATTTAGTGCTATTGCACTGCTTTGAACAATTTCTAATGCTATCCTTAGTCTTGAGTAAGCTAACTGAAGTTTTACGTACCCATTACTTAGAATAGAGAAGGATTGATCCAGACAAATGTATTGAGTATATTCACTACATGTGTAAATTAGTGTAAAGTGATTATTGCTAGATCTAAGATATACCAAGGTGTGGATATTGACATAATAAAAATTGTCACAAGAACAAATCACAAATGCAAATTTTTCTTGACAATAAAATTGAATATGTATTAATTTCTAATAAAAATTTCAGAAATAATGCTATATTGGTTCAAAGAAAATTGAAAGTTTGATATGAAAAACTATGTACAAAGCTATAGAGTGAATAGAAGATAAGCATTGCTGGAATTTCTCTTGATGAATTCATTAATTTTTCTACATTGTGATTCCTTTTCAAGTAGTGAAACATGTTTGCTCCAAAGTGTAAAATTAATGAAACCAGTTACATATTTCTATTCATAAATATAAAAATGCTATACTTTTATTTTCTACAAAACATGACCAACACACTTTAAAAAGGCAGCATTCAGAAACAATAAATGAATATATAAATAAAAGAAGAAATAAAATAATCTTAACCTACTGAAAGAGGCTATGAACACAAGGAACAGGCATGTTCTACATCACATGATTGTCATGACACATGTAATCCCTAAGGAGGAAACTCACTCACTCACTCACTCACTCATCTCATCTCATTTTATATTATTTGTGAACCCAAACGTCAAACCCATGGAACCCAAGCAAGAGAGAAAAAGTGTCCACAAGAAGCATAGCCCCCTTTTTCACATGGGGAAGTCAACAACCTCAACAACAAGAGGGGATCACTATGTATGAGCACCCCATGTGCAAGAGTGGTACAAATACAGTCACTTGCACCAAATTCAGTGGCAATAAATATAGCCTTTGTTACCCTCCCTCCACAAAGGGGATCAAGCAAGCAAGCATAAGGAGAAGGAGAAGGAGACAACAACAAAGACTACTTACTTACTTACTTGCTTGTTTGCTTGCTTACTGACTGACTACACTGAAAGAAAGAAGGAGCAGAGCAGAGTAGAGTGGGGGTAGAGTGGGGTGGGGGTGGGGTACCAGTTGGCTCTTCCTTTCTCCATTGCAAGCTTAGAAGGACACCCCCCCCAGGATCATGCCAAACCTCACATGGCTCCTCCTCCTCTCCCTTCCCTTCCCTTCCTTCCACAGGCTTTGTTTGTTTGACTTCTTCAAGCTCCAGCCCAGTACTACTGCATACAAGTAAGTACTTGGATATGGACCCCTTCTGCAGGCAGGCCCACAGGGAGACAGGCTGAGTGAGTGGTGTTTTAGATGCACTTATATATATATATATATATATACATATACATATATGTGAGTGTGTGTGTGTATATATACATATATATATATATATATATATGCAGAGATTTTCCTGTGTGAGACAAATCTTCAATCTGACTCAGGGGAACACAGTGTTGTAACCTGAGATGAAATTGTGGCTCTACTTCACATCCATCTCCAGTTCATTTGTTTGTTTGTTTGTTTGTTTGTTTATTATTATTTTAATGTTATGAAACTGTATGTTATTTGTTTCTGGGACAATAGTGGTATTAACTAAAATCATGCAAAGATATGCTGCTTTGTCAAAATGGTTTCTTTGTGTAAGATTTTTGAACAAAATCCTATAAGTATTAATGTTCAGAAGTAGGTAAGAAATTAAATTAAAGGATCAACTATTTACATTCATACATATATTGATGAAAATAATTTCTTTTGAGACTGGCCAAGTTATGTTTTTCTTTTTACTTTCTTTCTTTTCAAAAATTACTACTCATTTATTTTGATTACGATGTTAGGGTATATGTATCATTTAAAAGCATCAAATTCACCACACTTCCAGACAATACGATGGATCCTTCTGTTCTGTAAAAGTTCATCTAATGACTTTCTGAATGAAATCGCTTCTTTTAGATTTATTTGAACAGAAATCATGACAATTTAACTTAACTTCAATGCACAAATATGTGTGGTTGGGTTTCATTGTCATCGCATGGCGAATGACCTTTGAGGGCAATGCCAAGTTGGAAAGTGTCATAAACCAGCTTACTGGATCAGAATGGCTTTGGGTAATAAAAGCTTAACAGCAACGAACCAATCTATATTTGGTTATTTTATTCTATGATGGTTTAAGAGACTACACACCAACAATTGTCTGTGGTAACTTTATAAGTCTACTGCTTCCAACTCTCCTTCCTCCATATCGATTTGTTTCCATTCCGTTTCCGAAAATTGAACCAACATGATGATAATTGCTTTATCTAAGGGTAAATTACAACCAACTCAATTCAATCAGCAAATCTAAAGCCTTACACTTCAGTTTCCTGTAATCACTTTTATAAGTACAGAAACAGATCCGGAAGATTTACATAAGAAACCCAACTTTCATTCACAAATGTTGGTGCAATCTCCATGTACTGGAGCATGCAGTTTGCAACTTTTAATTGGTATTGCCAATGTGTATAGAATAATTCTACAGGAAACGTTCCATGTCACAGCATTCCACAAATGGATTAAGTGGTTAAATGCATCACTTTAAGATATGGAACAGAAGCATATGTATTTCTGTGTGGATTTTGTGTGTGTGATGTCTGCAGTGCAGCTTGCTTAGAGACGATCCAGCAGTGTCGACGATCCAATCCCTGAAAACTGGGTCTGAGCTGTTGGAGATGAGGCACAAATCCTTCGGCAACGCCGATATTTGCAGCGCAATATCAAAAGCGTTTCCTGTGGTGGTTCAGAACTGCTTGTAGATATATCACGCCATCAACACATCTATGCATGGTCGGAAATACGAAGAACTCTGTACAGAAGTACCAACGTACGGCACCTTGATCAGTCGGAATGGGGAATATCCATTTTCTGATCCAATCCTGTGTACACACATCAAACGCATGAGACTCTGATTCTGCCAGTGTGTGCTAGATTGGGGAGCCAATCGTGATCTCTTTGAACGATCTCACAAACATGTCGTGGGTTCATCTTCATCATCGAAAGGAAGAAAGGAATTCAGGCATTGCAGACGGGGATTCAATGGAAAAGCAGGATTGCACGGAGTCTATGCCCTGTTTGAAGGGTTATCAGTTACTGGGCCTTTGAAGCACCTGGTAAACACTGGATTTGGGCGAGGCAGCCAGCAAGTAGTGATCAGACGGGAATTTTATGTACGAATCAGCTTGTAGGAATGCGGAGGAAAGGGGGGAATATTGGAACTCTAAGTTTGAGCTACTGGTGTCAAAATCGGGCAAGGTTTCTGCAACTAAGGCACTTGTGCTAGGGGAAGAGGTGGTCGAGGAAAAGAGGGACGAAGCAGAAGCAGAATCCAACAGAGGAATCGGCGGAACTGACTGTGGTAATTGAGGCCTCGCAGACGCCATCTCAGCAGCGATTCTCGTCACGACTGAAAAATTCTGCACAGGCATATCTGACAACCCCCTTGTACTCTGCAGGAAAATCCAAAGAGAGTGATCATCTTACACACATATACACAAAAAAAAGAAAAAAGAAAAAAAGAAAAGCATAGAAAGGTAGCAAGAGGTTAACAGCAACCATCGACTGTTTCGAATGTAATTCCCAGAAAGCAAGTTAGGACAAAAGCAGCATAGTAACTCGGCATTTGGTAGCAACTGCAAGTAGCGAAGGATTGTATTGACTGTTCAAATATTGGGTACTCTTTGATAGACGAACCATAATCTTGTATGACTCTAGCTGGAAAGGGTTCAGAATTGGTTCTTAATTACCTCTTCAGAGTTGAGAGGTTTTCGAGCCAGCCTTTTCTCAGTCTCCGCCGCGACTGGTCGGTCTTGACACTTGGGGTGGCTTCTCCTGTGAGCAACCAAGTTGCACTTGAAAGCAAATTTCATGCCGCAGGAGCACACGATGGGCTCTCCACATAGCTTCTCATGGTCCCGCACATCCACCTCGATGTGGAACCGTTTCCCACACTTTCGACAAGCATGGCTCTTCTCTCCCTCCGAGTGCTTTCGTCCGAAGTGGCGCCGGAGCTCGTAAAGCCCCACAAAGGTTTTATAGCAGGTGGGGCACCGGGAGGGGATCTTCTTGTTGTGCCCTGCTTTGAGAGGCGCGGTGGCGGTGAGAACTGCCTCAGCTCCTAGCTGCGCTGCCGCGGCGTCGCTGAAGTGCGTCTTGTGGTGCATTCTCATCGTCTGAGGATTTTTGAATGTCTTCTGACAGCCTGCGAATGCGCATTGGTAGGGACGCCGGTTCTGTATCAAGTCCACTGGAACCAAAATTGCTTTCTGCTGCAGAAAGTTGGCATTGTCCGGCATCTGGATCATGCACCAACTAGCGAGTTAGCTTCCAAACAGTTTGTATAACCCCCCCCCCCCCCCACTGATGTCAAAGCAGACAAATGCGGAAGAAATTTTAGTGCACCTGCTTGAGGTTGTTGTTGTTACTGGGCCGGAAGGTGATTTCGGGTGAGGATTTCCCGGGGTAATCGGCTCCGAGTGAGTTTCCGTGCTCAGACCCTTGCAACTCAGCCATCTCTATCACTTGAGAATAGCCAGAATATTGCGTGAACCCACAGTCTCCTGAAGTCGTTTGGCCGTTAAATTCTAGCTTGGGAGACAAAATGGATTTGAGAGTGCACACCAAATTCGGGTGCATCACCGGTGTATTTATCGGGGAGGGACTGTTGAGCTTCGTTGGATGAAGGTCCAGTAGAGGAGCTCTCTCATGAGAAGGGGTGGATGGAGGGTCAAACACTGTGCCACTGTCCAAGAACTGAAGTACTTGCGATTGCGATCTACTCAGACGGGTGATGCCGAAAGGCGGGGTTGATGTGCCAGCAAGAGATTGAGAAGTCATGGCTACATTGTCAAGTAGAGGGAGGAAAGAGGTTTTCTCGTACAGTGGCCATTCAGGAGTTGCCGGATAATTGAGTCCCTGCTGCACCATTGACACATCAGGCATTGTGTATCATCCAATCGGTTGCCTTGAACCTCAAATCGGAAGTAATGCATGTGTATGGACTGCCAAACCCCCCCCCGCTGAATGTCGCTCACAAGTTTGATGAAGATCTCGCCTTCACGAAATCTATGCTACAAATGCTGATATGAACTGCTTTGCAAAAACGAAGTTCAGAAATAACAAATTTGAGTTAATCCGTTTGAGGGCTTTTCTGAAAAGTCTTCCAAGAAATTGAACAGAGCAAAACAGCGAACGCTGCACAAATTGTTGCAACTCAAAGAGTTGATTTTCTCATGTTTCCAAGCTTCTTGTCCTCGAAATTCTTCGAATAGCAGTCATCCTTATTCCAATTCTAGTTCACGAATTGCAGGAAACCTCCTCAGTTTGCGCTCTACTCACCTTCACTACAAAGTCTACGATGGGGCTAGGATTACAAAATGGAGGAAACCAAATATCACGTTTGCTTCAAAAACTTGACATTGTCAATAGAAGAGTTTCTGCATCGATTGCACCAACTCCCGGCTGAGAACTTGAAACGTTGTGGAATTGTCCACAACAACCCAGTTCGAAGACGGAATCAGTGAGAAAAAAAAAAAAAAAAACAAACAAACAAACAAACAAACAAACAAAACAAAACAAAACAAAATCACACCAGCTTCACAATCTAAAGAAACCGAGACCCCTCAGGATGGTCAGCAATCGCGAAGATTTGAGTTGCAGCAGGAGGTCAAACAAGACGAGAAGGCTTGCTTACCACCATGTCAGTCTAGGCACCAGCTGCAACATTTCGGCACTCAACTGTCCGCCTCCCAACTCCACAACAGATTCAGCTCGCATGGCTTCGACAACTTTCAAAACCACTTCGTCTCTCCCGGCAAGTCCACCCCCAATCGATAAGAGTTTGATAAAGGAAAAGATTGTGAATTGTCAGAATCCTCTCAGTAGAAGAAAGCCAGCGCCGCCTTGAGAGACAACACCTACGGTATTTTCGTCTCCTTGTAAGAAGCAGTGAGTGCACCTGCGCCTGTGTTTTCGTGGAGGTAATCCCTATCCTAAGCTTCCAGAATTGTCATTCTCTCATTCAAGGTTGAGTACCAGTGTTGTACCAAAAGGAGCTATTTTCATGGGCAGCCATGCCAGTCTCCGTAGCTCTTCATGGTTGCCACAATCGCGTGTCAGACAGTCTAGTTAGCACCCTACGAACTCTACCCCCCTCGCGCTCGAGTTTTCCTTTGCTTCCATGAATTACATGAAGTCCACATCCAAGCGAAATGCTTTCCTCGACGACAAAGGGAGGAAATGCTGATATTAATTCAACCCACTGCGATGCGACAAAGGGCTTTCGTTCCCCTGCCACTTGGACTACACCGTCGGACTGTTGGCCTTGACTTGCAGAAGCCGCAAAAGTACACAACCGAGGGACATCTCTGTTGACGAGAGGACGAACTATGCGAGAGGCGGCAGATGTTTTCAGGGAATCCACTTTGACCCTAACGTATGGAAATTCCACACAACCCACACGAAAAAGGTTTCTCTATCTCCTTCTCTCTCTCTCTCTCCATCACTGAAGGATCTTCTGCAACAGTCGCAGTAACGGTGAATGGCTGCCGAAGTTACGCAGCGGGAAGAACAAACCAGCTACTCCGACGAAGAAATACTCCCTTTGTTTTTTTTTCCCACACAACACTGGTCATGAACTGAGTTGCAGGACTTTGAACCAGTAAACACAAAAAGAGACTAAAAACAGCTCCGACTACAGCTCATTTACTCATGTTGATTGGCAATGAATGCAGCCAAAAACACCGTCGCAACTACTTACCCTACAAGGGCTGCGATCTACCCAACGCCGTTAATGAGGCCCATGTGGGAAAAACCAAAGAAAGAGTTGGACCGAGGGCAGATTCCAATGCCAAATTAACTGCTTTGAGCCAGTCCGGACCAAATTTAGGAGGGCACGGTGGAGATGGATAAGGTGGGTGGTGGAGAAAGTTTCGGGGGTGGAAGAAGCATTGTTTGCTTTGATTTTATTGCACACACTGTGTGTCTTAACACACTCCATGTCTCCAGCATTTGCACTTTAACCAAATCCCCTTCCCACCCCCCAAGTCGGCAATACGCAGTCTTGCCGAATCTCGCTCATCCAATTCCATAAGCTTCATGTCCTCTTTCCAGTGGCTTTCTTTGCTCTCTCTCTCATTTTTGCTTCTTTCTGCTTCTTCTTCTCCTACTTTTTGTGGTTTATAGGACACAATCTGCTCATTATGTTGCGTTGCTGAAATAGCTCTTGTTCACCAAAAACTGAAGGAGGGGCTCTTCTCTTTCAAGTTGGGGTCATCCTGCCATCCATGTTCTGGTTGTAACTACATAAACTTCAGGAGTGTTTCAGTGCTTCGTGAAATCTGGTTGAGTATTTCTTTTCTCTATTTTTTTTTCTTTATTTATTTTTATTTATTTTTATTTTGTTTATTAACATTTGTAAGGGCTGATTTCATGGTTGTTGTGTGGAGGTGTTTTGGACAACTTGGTAATGCTGTTATGCAACGTGGACTGACTTCCTTTAAATTCTTCTTTATTTGTTGGTGTGTTTGTTTTTTTTTTTCAGAATATTAAAATTCTAAGGAGTCTTGAAAATTATGTGGATCTTTAGGAATTTTGGTTTGAGGGATCAAAAGGTATAAGGAATACAACTATGTAATAAAATTGGTTGGGTACTTTCAGGGTAAAGAGTAGTAATTGTCCCAGAACTTGACTGAATATGTGTTATGTTGTTGATGATTTTAGTTTACATGCTAATGCATCTATGCAAAGAGAAATTAAAACCCAATGAATAATATCTTTGTTTGTGGCATGTTTTTTCCTGTTAATTGTGAAATAAGTCTTAAATTTCAATTTTAACATATTTCACTTGATGTGACACAAGAGCTTGTTGTATACAACTTGAATTATCAACACTTACAATTTATTATCTCATTTTAAACATTGTATTTGATTGAGTGTTTTGTAAAAATATTGAGTTTTTCTTAATTTTGAACTTGTGCCTTTAAATATATATATATATATATATATATATATGTATGTATGTGTGTGTGTGTGTGTGTGTGTGTGTTTTATGTGGTTTTAGCCTTATATGATGTAAAACTCATCAAAGCTAATTTCACTCAATTAAATAATATTTTTCAAGCAATAATTTTTCATATATGGGTTTTATAAATTATTTTGTTTTTACTGCTACATAATCATATCTTATTTTAGTAAAATTTTAGAATATTGTTAATGTGTTGAGTTATGTAAAAATTAGCCTAAGAATGAAGTGGATATCTTTGGTGTAGAAGAATATAGTTTTACTTTGAAGTTGGGTTTACAATCTAATAAAAAAAATAAAAAAATAAAAAATCATAAGTTTTATAGAAATACCTTGGCAATCTTGAACAATCTAAAATTTTTATTATACTTTATTCAACTTTAAATAAAATTTAAATAATTCTAAAAAAATCTTAATTAAATCCTAAATATATAATAATAATCATAATAATCATAACTCAAAAAGAGATTATAATGAATTTTATTTTATTTTAAAAAAAACTACAAAAAAAATCTTTCAAAAATCTTAAATATCCTAATTAAATTCTAACCATACCTCAAATAAATCCTAACAAGTTTTAATCAAACCTTAAATAAATACCACAACAAATTTCAAACCTCAATCAATATTATACTAACTATTGATTGTCATTCAAGCTTTTCATACATCTCAATTTATTAGTTGGAAACAAACACATAAAATTTAAAGATGATCAAACTTACAAATTTTGGAAAGATCTGATCATAATATGCTTGGATATTGAGTGTCATCCTTTTTCAAACTCAATGCAAGCCTTCTAGCTATAATATCTTCATTGTAAATTCTTAACTTCTCTCAAATTTTTCATGAATATATATAACTTAGTCAATCATTAGTACAAAAAAAAATTCCAATCAAATAGACAAATTGCTCAAAATAAAGAAAAACCTTATTAACCCTTAAACCTAGTTTTTAATTTCTTATTTTACTAGAACTTCAATCACTTTTAATTTGACCATCCAATCAAACTCAAATAAACAACACATATTTAGTACAACTACATTCACAAATCTACAAACTTTCACTTGTAGATCTTTTATATAATTCACATAATTTACCAAAATGCAATCTATTTTCTATTCAACACAAAACAAAGTCACTTAAAATAACTATGACTTTCCAAAGCTCTCACAAAATCAACTTGCCCTCAAATCCCTCAAACTTTGCTCTTCAATCAACAAAAGAAGCCTATATTTGCAATAGATGAGTGGTTTTGTGCCTTAAGATCTAGTTTTGATCTTGGTTCATAACCAACCCTCTCTAAGAACCATTCTAAGGTTTTTCTAAGTAATTTTTGTTGAGAGCATTTATTTACTTTTATCTAAAGATGTCTATAATTTTATTTTTACCAACTTATTTTTTTTGACTTGTTTATGGTTCTACAAAGTAAATTGAAGTTATTTTTTTATTATAATAAATAAATAAATATATATATATAATATTCAGCATAAAAAATTATTTTTAAATTATTGGCATTAAAATTTGAATATTAAAAAAGAAAATCATAATATAAGAAATTAATTTAACTTTAGAAAAAATAAAAAATAAACAATGGAACAATATAGATAATTTTGTGATTTGCAGAATTTTTTTTAAGAATTTCAATTATTAAAGAATAGTAATTGAAATAATTACATGTCATATTTGGACTTGTATATTTCCAAATTCTTAATCTTTTATGGCTTATTGTTCAGCATAAATTCAATCCTTCTTTTGATGGTTATTTTTTAAAAACATCTTTATTCTTTGTCTAAATTTCCTTAAAAATAAACCAATACCATTTTTTAATACATAGTCTAATATATATATATATATATATATATATACATATATATATATATATATATATACATATATATAACTTGGCCCTAACTTTAATAATTTATCTTCTCCTACCCAATCAATCATCTTATTAATACAAAAATTTGTTATATTTAAAAAATCAGTTAATCAATTAAAAATTGATATATTTAAAGAAATTAGGTGTATAATTTATTTTAAGGAAGTCAGAATGTACCATTCTATTTATAACCCTGTCAAAGTTATTCATTGTAAATATATTTTCTTGCTTGACACAAGACTAATTTCAAACAAGTAAAAAATGAATGACTTATTTGTATCTTAAGAAAAAAAATCATATGTTTTAGTTTTTTTTAATAATTTTTGTATTTATAAAAAATACTAAAATATTAAATAATACCAACTTATTTTTTTAAAAGAGACTTTTTACAAAAACTTAAATAAAATATTTCATGAAGGTATTGCCGATAGTTCTTTCTTTCTTTCTTTTCTACAACAATTCTTGTTTCAATTACCAATGTTATGTCATATTCTCCGAAATATCAAAATTATACGACATTTTTCTATGTGTAGATGTCCTAAATATTTCATTAAAAGCCAAAAACAAATATGTCCCAAAAGAATTCAATTACAAAAATATACATGATATTTATTTTCCATACTTAACTGAAAATTATTTTTATTTAGCTTATTAACATACGTGATGAAAAAATAATTTTGAAAAATTGTCAAATGTATGTACATGACATAATAATAAAAAATATATATATTTAGTATCTTCTAAAGTATCTTTTCTTAAAGGAAATAATACACACACACACACACATATGTATATATATATATATATATATACATACATAGTATGAAATATAAATGATGCTTATATAGTTTTTCATAAAACCTTTATTAGAGACTTAATAAAGTAAAAGTTACTGTATTGTAATTGCTTTAATTTTGAAAATGAGCTAATTTCTTTTTCTTCCAAGTTTTGTTAAAAAAAAATTTTTCTTAAACATTTAAGATTGATAAACTAAATGGTCTTCCAATACAACAATTGAATACCAAGTAAACTTTCTACCAAGAAACAAGCACAAATTATTTTGAAAAACTCCAAACGTTATCACTTTTTATGTCACTTCACAAGAACAATAAAGTAAGTGAAAAAACACACTAGCTTGATCAATTTCAAACATAAGAATAGATTGAAAATGAACCACTTCCATCTCAAAACCCTCACTGATAACAACTTCATGTTCTGAGAACAATAACCACCCAACTTTTTAGTCTCATATTACTACTATTGTTAATAATAATAAAATAATAAAAAAAAACTTCATTTCTACTGGATTTGAGAAGAGGGTTTAAACCTAATGTAAAATGAAATCAATTACTTGTCATTGTATAAGTAGAGGCACTAGACTAGTGCACTCCTACTATTTTTAAAATTGTGTACATTCTTGACCTAGTTAGCAAGTGGAATCAAACAATTGATGGGCTCAATGAAAGGTGAATGATTTTTCTTCATGCACCCCACAAATTCATTGCACCAAAGAGCTAAAAGAAGAAGACCTTTGAACAAATCCTTGTGAATACGTATAAAATAGAATCTTCGATTCTGCCTTGGTTTTGGCGAATGGGGGAAATCTACTCCAAAAATACTGCTAGTTTGAATACTGACTGAGGGGCACATGCCATGCTGAATTTGTAAGCGACAGAATTAGGGTTTTGAATGAAGGGAGAGGGTGAATTTGCTACTCGGTCAAGCAGCCCCCAAGGAATTGAATGTTGTATTTGTTTGGTGGGTGATTTTGAAAGTGCAAAAGATGAAGTCTGTAGAAAGTTTGGAGTTGAAGAAAGTCAAATTGCTTTTTTAAATGGGTGTAAAACAATTGGACCAAATTTTGGTTGTTATTAGCAAATTCTTCTTCTTCTATTTCTTGTTTTGGTTTTTGTTTTGTTGTTTTTCCTTCTTCTTCTTGTGGAAAGTGTTTTTTT